ACCCCCTGCCATTTGAGAAAGTTTTAATATCTTGTAAATGGTCGAGATCCCCACCCCTAAATCATATATATTCTGGTTTGTCATGATAAGGCACATCAAATGAAATATTGGTTAGTCCCAAGGGATCATCCCCCCCCCCCCTTGCCATTTAAGAAAGTTCTAATATCTTGCAAGTGGTCAAGATCCCCACCCCTAAACCATAAATATTCCTGTTCGTCATGTCTCGAACATTTGAATGACGTATAGGGTCAGTCCCCAGGGGTTCCCCCACCCCCCAATGTATTAGTATCTTGAAAATGGTCGAGATCCCCACCCCTAAACCATATATATTCTGGTTTGTCATGCCAAGATGATTTGAATGATATACAGGGTTAGTCCCAAAGCATCACTAATGCATATAACTTTACTGGACCAAACCAATTTTCACTGGACTTTGCCCAATGTCAGGCGTCCCTGGGAATTACGAATTATAGTAGCTTCGTTTGGGAGACTTCGTAACAGCATCCTGTTATAATCATTTCTTGTTTTTTGTAGATTGTTTAAATATTTTTTCACATGGTGCATGGTGGCCTTTTGTAGCTGACTATACGGTGTGTTGAAGGCTGTACGGTTGCCTTTATATGATTTCTTACATCCACTGCATTTAAACTCTGATGAATAGTTGTCTCATTGTCAATCACACCACATCTAACTTTATTTCAACTTGTATGTTGCGTTTAGTATACTGTAACATTGTTTATCGTTTGTACGCATACCCTGGAGCCCTCTTTTCTGAAGCCCGAGCAAAAGTCCTTTTTCCGTGATAGAAAATTAAATTACGAACTCCAAGGATTTGTATAGTGAGTATACAAATCGAACTCATAAAAGATAGCTCGAATTTCAACTCAAAATCTTAATTAATCTAAATGAGACTTAAATTCGAATCTAACTTAAACTCAAAAAGTGACTCAAATTTAATGTTGTTACTAGAACTCTACCTTTAAATGTGACTCAAACTCGAAGTCCAACTCGAAACTCAATGCTTACTAAAACTTTATTTCTAATAATGACTTGAATTCGAAATCGAAGACTAACTCAAAGTTAAACTCAAACAGTAACCCGAACTTTAATTTGAACTCTAATTCGATGGATGGCCATACTCATCCAAGGCACATACAACATGGAAATCTATCTAAAAATAGAACAGGTTTTTCCGAATTGGTCACGTGATTTTACCTCATCAAGTAATGCGATAACCACATCAAAGAATGACAGGACCACATCAAATAATGAAACAAACACATCATCTAGTGTAAAATCGTCAAATTTTGAAACATCATTACGTAATGTTAAAACCATATAAAGAATAGGTAAATCATCATTACAAAATAACAAAACCACATCATGTAATGAAACAACTACAAAACTTTCATTAAGTCACATTCACATCAAGTAATGTTAAAACAACATTGCCTAATGACACAACCACATTAAATAATGGTGAAACCACATCGAGTAATAACAAAATCATATTGAGTAATGACAAAACTATATCAAGTCAATACGAAACCATATCGTGTAATATCGAAATATCATTAAGTAATGACTATTTCATATTGAGTTATATCAAAACATCATTACGTAATGACAAAACCATATTAAGTAAAGACAAAACATCATCAAGTAATTTCAATGTTAATACTATTTATGTAACGGTCTGTGTCCTTAATTTCGCCTTGATAAAAACGGGTTTAAAAAAGTTTATTGTTATCACTTTAATATGAAATTCAGCACAGATGTATAACTTTAAAATAATATTCTGTTATAACTTATATACGTTGAAAGTAATTCAAATAATTTAACGTGCCTTTTACTTTAAGGTGGATATTACAAGAGTGATCTAATATTCCATCACCTTATCACAGCATACATCCCATTTCTACCTATTGAAAAAGAGCATGTGTTTGGCTGCATTAAACATCACCTAGTAGCGAAAAGGTATTACAAACATAACATAGACATTCCGATTAAAACAATTGAAGAAATAGCTCAGCAACTCCAATTTTATCCAAATGAAACAGACAAAATGTTCTCAGCGACAGGTTGAAAAGGGTAGAAGAGAAAGTTGATTATGTAATGGGAGGTACAAGTTGATATATTGAAGATGAACCAGAAAGTGAATAAAATGATACATCAAGAATTTTCCATGTTTTCCTTTCGTTATAGACTACTACTAACTCGAAGATTTAGCCTAACTTTAGAAAGACTTTAAAGTGAGAAGTATATTATTTATTTCTAATCTGTACCGATTCCCGTGGATGTGTAAACAAAGAGTGTTGTTGCCTGCACCACAGTAGTGCTTCTCTCTATATTTAGAATTAATAAAAACTGTTATGTAACAGCATAATTATATTTTAAATATAAGTGTATCTATAAAGCATTACGAAAATTAATAAAATTACCCAGTAGCTGCAATTTCAACTAAACAGTGAACTAATCAATTCGTCAGTTTAGAAATGGGTTTGTAGACTTTCAGACATTAGAATAAAACGGTTGATTCAGGGATGTATTTAACAAACTTAAAAGAAAACAATGTTCAAATGATATGTGTACATAGTTATATGTAAGCATCTTAAAGAGTAAAAAAACTGGTCGCTTATGTAAACTATTGGCATCATCATTAGAAGTCTATGCTTCGGTACATGACTTTTAACATAAAATTCTAATAAATTTGAAAATTATTATTAAGAAGCTGAGGGTTCAACTCACTCAGGCAAGGTTGATTTTAGATGAATTGGTCATGCTTTTAAGGTTCCCTTTGGTCATAAAATAGCAAATGTTTCTAGGTACAATTGTATTCATACATTTCTGGCTTTCTACAGATATTAAATATTTTTATTGGAGTGTTCCTGATAAAGATGAAAAATACAAAAGCACATTGGACGCAAGGAATTTAGAAAGTGTTATATTCATTTATCCTTCCCACAGATTTTGAGGCTCCATAACACATTGATACTAGCATTTTGTATTCTTCAGTACAATTTCATAAAGAAACATTTTAATTTTAAAGTTTTAACGACCAGAAATAAGTTATTAAACACACAATACAGAATTAAGTACATGCATTGTATGTTTCTATAGAAAAAAAAATTTAGATACGTTTGCAACCAATATTTAATTTTCAATAAAATTCAAATGAATGAAACAAATGATTATTTATCAAAGTCAACAAATGACAAACAAAGGCACTTTAAATAAACCGCAAAATTGGTATTCTATCAATGAATCTACTATGATGGTAGTTTATTGACCTACCGAATTAGACTATTTACCGGATTTGTAATACCATAAGCAACACGACGGGTGCCACATGTGGAGCAGGATTTGCTTACCCTTCCGGAGCACCTCAGATCACCCCCAGTTTTTGATGGGGTTCGTGTTGCTTAGTCTTTAGTTTTCTATGTTGTGTCATCTGTGCTATTATTTGTCTGTTTGTCTTTTTATTTTTGGCCATGGCGTTGTCAGATTGTTTTCGATCTGTGAGTTTGACTGTCCCTCTGGTATCTTTCGTCCCTCTTTTATTGAAGTAATTTCATAAAAGTTCAATAAGCAGGGTTGATATGCATAAAACCACTTAAATTAAGATGTCCAATCGTAGTACTAATTTATCGTAGGACATGTAGAAAAATCCGTTCGTTCGGAACAAATCTTAGCATAAGTAGTTTTATGCATATCAGCCAAGATCCTTACAAATGCTTTCATCATCAATAACTACTTGTGAAATCCTAATGTCATATTCAATAGTACTTGCAACAAAATGAGCAGGTTTTAAAAGGTTTGATACCACCAAAAAATAGTACATCACTTCCGGATTCATATGAAAAAGGGTTAAAAAAAATATTCCCTCAAATTTGTCAATTGTAAGAAATTAACTCTATACAATATCAAATGTACATTTAAACAAATGGATTGGACAAATGGCAACGCCTATACAAAACCTTTCTAGAAATTAAAAGAAACAACAGAAACGGCTTCATCTGCCTCATTTTTATACTTATACCTCGAATTTGACATAAGTGGTCATCTCAGTACCAGAATTTATGACAAACGAGACGATTTTAATTTTGAAATTATCAATTTCCCCCACCTTAGTAGCAATAAACCAACTTCACCTGCATATGGGATGTACCGTTCCCAACTCATTCGGTATTCAAGAGCTTGCAGCTGCTTCTCACTTTGTAAAACGTCATCAGTGTTTGAGCAGAAAGTTGATGAACCTGGGGTATGTCAAAGAACGTCTCGTCTTTTTTCTAAAAAAGTTCATCGAAAGATACCAAAATCTTTTTGATAAATATTCCGTATCAACGTCACAAATAATACACAATGGTCTTAAAGTATAGATTCTAGGTACTGACGTTGTTTATCATCTTAATATCGTGTTATAGTATTCTTTTATTTGTCTTTGTAAATTATTACTTTTCCTGTATAGTCTATTTTTGGTAATATCCATTTGACATGGTTCAGTACTTATACATCCCGTCATTGTGTTATTGTGCTATGGTAAATTCTTGTATTCTTTGTCTTTCATTTTTGATAATGTTCTTTTTCTATATGCTTTTTTTGTTTTTCTTTGTTGACATATTTATTTTTTTTATAGTGATTAAGATTATTATACAATGTTGACTGCTGTACCGCTATTCTTGACATTTTACGTACTATGGTGTTTGTTTTGTTCACACATCGTTGTCAACATAATGGAATTTTATGCGACTATCATACAAGTGAGACGTTTAGCTAGCTATTAAACCAGGTTTAATCCACCACTTTCTACATCAGAAAATGCCTGTACCAAGTCAGGAATACGACTGTTGTTATTCATTCGTTTGATGTGTTTGAGCTTTTGATTTTGCCATTTGACTCGGTAATTTTGTTATTTTACTTTTTCCTATACGAGATGGATTGAATAATCTGATGGTAATATAATATATTTCTAAAAAGTGATATGAAAAACACGCCCTTTTTATTTTTTAATTTAAAACAAAATGTATTAAAAAGACTATATTGTAGAAAAGACGTTAACAATAATATATACAAAAGATTATATAATAAATAAATAATAACATCATTGCAACATGAATTACACTCCATAAACTCGAACTGTGAAAGAAAGTGTTTGAACAAATAAAACTAAGTCTATCAATCACAATTTCATTATTCTTATAAACAAGGTGAAACAGGTTCATTTGCTGTTGTTACTAAACAATTCCATGTTTGTCAAAATAAAAATCATCTATAAGCTCCAAAGACCTAATTTACAACAACATTATTTTCAGTACAAAAAAATGTTTCGACTCATTAGCTTGGTAGTCCCTACTATTTTATTAACATTCTTTTTGCCATCAAGGATTAACTGAGAAAATAATATATTTTTAAATATAATAACAATGGGAATGGGCAGCAAAAATTGGAATCAATTTCCCCAAAAACAGGTCTTTAGAGTGAGAATTTAAAATTAAAAAAAAGATTTAAAACAAATGCATTGTATTATACAGGTTTTAACTTTGTTTTAAAACTTTATTAAACCTCATACTTTTGTTATGGATGTATTATAGCAATAGGATAACAATTAAAATATACCATGAAGTCTAAATAAAGAATTTAATTCCATATTGATAAAACTTTAGCACTTTTTTTTATATGAATTCAGATTTTGAATTAAACAGCATATTCACCTTTGGAAAATGAATATCTACCATGCATTACGTCACATGCTTTTATGTATATAATAATGGTAAATTCCTTTGATGTACAGTTGGATTTGGCAAATAATTGTCATTATAAACATTTTCTTTCTTGGAATACGGAATAAAAAAAAAATTTTGTTTTGGTAAATATGTTGTTAACTGACTTTTGAAAAACTGATATTCACTTCATATGTTAGCTTCACTGAATATCAGTTTTTCAAAAGTCGATAAAACGTCGTATCTATTTGATCAACAGACAGTAATTATATAAAATTCAATGCAAGAACTAGTGCTAGACAGTGTTAAAAGAGTGAAAAGTACTTAAAAGTCCAATGCCACTAGAATGTCGTAATTTGTGCTAGGCAGTGTTAAAAGAGTGAGTAGTAGTTAAACGTCCAATGCCACTAGAATCTCAAAATTTGTGTTAGGCAGTGTTAAAAGAGTAGTAGTTTTAAGTCCAATGCCACTAGAATCTCATAATTTGTGCTAGGCAGTGTTAAAAGAGTGAGAAGTAGTTTAAAGTCCAATGCCACTAGAATCTCATTATTTGTGCTAGGCAGTATTAAAAGGGTGAGAAGTAGTTTAAAATCCAATGCCATTAGAATCTCATTATTTGTGCTAGGCCGTGTTAAAAGAGTGAGAAGTAGTTTAAAGTCCAATGCCACTAGAGTCTTGTAATCTGTGCTAGACAGTGTTAAAAGAGTAGTAGTTTTAAGTCCAATGCCACTAGAAACTCATAATTTGTGCAAGGAGGTGGTAAAAGTGTGAGAAGTGGTTTTAAGTCGAAGGCCACTAGAATCTCATAATTTGTGCTAGGCAATGTTAAAGAGAGAGAAGTAGTTTAAACTCCAATGACACTAGAATCTCATAATTTGTGCTAGGGAGTGTTAAAAGAGTGAGAAGTAGTAATTTAAAGTCAGATGCCACTAGAATCTAATAATTTGTGCTAGGCGGTGAAAAAGAATGAGAAGTAGTTGAAAGTCCAATGCAACTAGAATCTCATAATTTGTGCTAGGCAGTGTTAAAAGAGTGAGAAGCAGTTTAAAGTCCAATGCCACTTAAATCTCATAATTTGTGCTTGGCAGTGTTAATAGATTGAGAAGTAGTTTAAAGTCCAATGCCACTAGAATCTCATAATTTGTGTTAGGCAGTGTTAAAAGAGTGAGAAGTAGTTAAAAGTCCAATGCCACTAGAATCTTATAATTTGTGCTAGGCAGTGTTAAAAGAGTGAGAAGTAGTTTAAAGTCCGATTCCACTAGAATCTCGTAATCTGTGCTAGGCGACGAAAAAGAGCGAGAAGCAGTTTTAAGTCCAATGCCACTAGAATCTCATTATTTGTGTCAGGCAGTGTTAAAGAGAGAGAAGAAGTTTCAACTCCAATGACACTAGAATATCATAATTTGTGCTCGGCAATGTTAAAAGAGTGAGAAGCAGTTTAAAGTCAAATGCAACTAGAATCTCATTATTTGTGCTAGGCAGTATTAAAAGAGTGAGAAGTAGTTTAAAGTCCAATGCCACTAGATTCTCGTAATCTGTGCTAGGTGGTGTTAAAAGAGTGAGAAGTAGTTGAAAGTCTAATGCCACTAGAATCTCATAATTTGTGTTAGGCAGTGTTAAAAGAGTGAGAAGTAGTTTAAAGTCCAATGCCACTAGGATCTCGTAATTTGTGCTAGGTGGTGAAAAAGAGTAAGAAGTAGTTTAAAGTCAAATGCCACTAGAATCTAATAATTTGTGCTAGGCGGTGAAAAAGAATGAGAAGTAGTTGAAAGTCCAATGCAACTAGAATCTCATAATTTGTGCTAGGCAGTGTTAAAAGAGTGAGAAGCAGTTTAAAGTCCAATGCCACTAAAATCTCATAATTTGTGCTTGGCAGTGTTAATAGATTGAGAAGTAGTTGAAAGTCCAATGCCACTAGAATCTCATAATTTGTGTTAGGCAGTGTTAAAAGAGTGAGAAGTAGTTAAAAGTCCAATGCCACTAGAATCTTATAATTTGTGCTAGGCAGTGTTAAAAGAGTGAGAAGTAGTTTAAAGTCCGATTCCACTAGAATCTCGTAATCTGTGCTAGGCGACAAAAAAGAGTGAGAAGCAGTTTTAAGTCCAATGCCACTAAAATCTCATTATTTGTGTCAGGCAGTGTTAAAGAGTGAGAAGTAGTTTAAACTCCAATGACACTAGAATCTCATAATTTGTGCTAGGCAATGTTAAAAGAGTGAGAAGTAGTTTAAAGTCCAATGCCACTAGAATCTCATTATTTGTGCTAGGCAGTATTAAAAGAGTGAGAAGTAGTTTAAAGTCCAATGCCACTAGAATCTTGTAATCTGTGCTAGGTGGTGTTAAAAGAGTGAGAAGTAGTTGAAAGTCAAATGCCACTAGAATCTCATAATTTGTGTTAGGCAGTGTTAAAAGAGTGAGAAGTAGTTTAAAGTCCAATGCCACTAGAATCTCGTAATTTGTGCTAGGTGGTGAAAAAGAGTGAGAAGTAGTTTAAAGTCCAATGCCACTAGAATCTCATTATTTGTGCTAGGAGGTGTTAAAAGAGTGAGATACTTCTTAATGCTGTGTGCTTAGGAAAGAAGCAGAAAATACCAATTTTAAAGTATTTTGTTTGAACATGCTAATACGAGACCAATGATGTGGTTTAAAAGAGTGAGATGTGGTGTATCATAATCAGTTAAACAACATGGACATATAAAACAACATGCGATATTCACAAATACTTATGTTTGACCTTTTTACAAATGTAAGTTAAAAAATAGACTAGAGGTGCACAACACAAAAACATAATATACAACGAAAATCTGTCAAAATATTTCATGTACATGGGTTGTACTATTTTTAATTCAGAATCAGATACAACCCTTTTTTAACATTGGGCAAAACTCATTACACTCACATTAAATAAAATCTCAAAAGCTCATTTTATTGTAGATGCTTGAGGAAAGATGTGCATAAAATAGGCGGTATTCATTTGTCACTTCTGACAAAATAGTATTTGCTGAATAGTGCGGTATCAAAAAAGAGAATGTTAATGCCAATTTGTTGGAAGGAAGATGAGGAAAGATGTGCACACAAAAGGCAGTATACATTTCCCTGCTGAAAATTTTCATTTGTTTAAAAGTACAGTTTCTAAAAGAGAATGTAAACGATGGTCAAAGAATGATCGAGAAATGGAAAAAAAAGATAAAACTTAGCTTCTTAATTTTAATGCCCATTTGTTTGAAGGATCTTGCAGGTAAAAGAATGTTTATTGTTAGTGGAGTATGATCAAATTCAGAAATGTGATCTCAAAGTTAATTCAAAATGTTAATGCCCATGTGCTTAAAGGCAGTTGAGAGTAGACATCAAAGCTCAGTAAATGTTGCAATTTAATATCAAAGCTCAATTACTAGATGGCAGTAGACTTTAAATGTGAATATTTAAAGCAGTATGCATTAGTCCCTGTTGACAAACCTTTTTATTAGTAGTGATTTTTAATTGGTCTTTTATGATTGTGGAGACAAGATGGGATATTTTTGCAATGAATGTCTGTTTTAACATTAAAGAAATTAGTCTAGACTAAGTTCAGGAAATTAATATTTTATACACAAAAATGTTAGTGTGCATTTGTCTTTGTTTACAAAGTTAAATTTGCTCAACAGTGGTATACTAATAGGAGAATGATCAACAGATGGTGGTTGAAAGATGATCAAATACTGACAAATAAGGCTTTTTTAAATGTTCCATGATAAATCCTGTTTGCTATGAACAACTATCAAAAACTATGGTCTAAGTGTCTGTATAACTAATGGTGACTTTGCAATTGTCCTGACTTTTTAGTGAAATCTCAAATGCTAACTCTAGTTCAACTTTGAGTTTTGAGATTTGTTTAGTTGGCTATATCATACGAAAAAGTTTGAAAACAAATAAGCTTTTTGGGTAATGTTTCTTTGTTTGATGAAAGTTGTCAATATATTTTTTCTTTAAATTTTCACATGAAACTTTTTTATGGATCTTGTGCCACGGTTTTATTCACTAATGTCACTTCTTAAAAAGCTTAAGATAAGCAGTGTTCTATATAGAGACAAAACAAGAGGCTCTCAAGAGCCTGAATCGCTCACCTGTATTTCAGAGGAGAAGATTTTTAAATGTTAGCAAACTTGATGAATAAATTGTGTAAAATTGTCTTTAAAGGGCAATAACTCCTTAAGGGGTCAATTGACAATTTTGGTCATATTAACTTTTTTGTAGATCTTACTTGCTGAACATTATTGCTGCTTACAGTCTATATATATCTATAATAATATTCAAAATAATAACAAAAAACTGCAAAATTTTGTTAAAACTACCAATTCGGTGGCAGCAACCTAACAATGAGTTGTTCGATTCGTCTGAAAATTTCAGAGCTTATAGATCTTGACCAATTGAACAATTTTATTTGACGTCAGATTTGCTCTAAAAGCTTTAGTTTTTGAGATATAAGCCAAAAACTGCATTTGACCCCTATGTTCTATTTTTAGCCATAGCGGCCATGTTTGTCGATGGATCAAAACTTCGGATACAATTTTATAAACTAGATACCCTAAGGAACATTTAGTTAAAGTTTGAAGGTATTTGGCCCAGTAGTTTCAGAGGAGAAGATTTTTGAAATAGTTTACGACGACAGACGACTACGACGACGTCAGAGGACAAACGACGACGACAGACGACGGACGACGACGGAAGCCAAGTGATGGCATAAGCTCACATGCTCACTGTGAGCTAAAAAAAAAAAAGGAAAAGAAGGTATTTTACAACATACATTAAAATGGTTTACACTTTACAATTCCGTACAAATTTGCTAGCTTTGATATAAAACCATAATCTGCAGGTAAAATAATAATACATGTCATGCATGCCCAGATATCAAACAACTCTCATAAAATTTGAGAACTAACAAATATTTAAGGCATATGCATGAGTTGACATGGGTTGTTCTTTAGTATACTTAACAAATGTAAAACTTTGTAAATTCTAGAAACAAATCTGACATTAAAAGAAAATCAAATGTGTTTTGTTCATCTTGCTGAAAACAACTAATAAACCATGTAATCATTTGTCTATAAACAATATTCTAATTTATACTAAATAATGCATTATATCTTTCAACACAATTTATAAGAATGTCCTTTTTTATATGAAACATAAAAATACAGACGGATCTTACTGTCATAAAGCAGTTTAAACACATATCAAAATTCATATACATGTAAGCATTACAAGTATGTTATAAAACATTACAATGAACATACAAAAATTTGGATGACTCCATAATAAAAACAATTGTACATACATGTAAATCATAAGGTCAAATCATGTATCTACATACCACCAGTTTTACAAAATGAGATTCTTTGTAAATAAATTAAAATGCTGCTATACTTTTTCACTTTCCATAACATGTGAGGGAGCATTCTGTTTTTCTAAGAACAAACATTTTTTTCCACCTTCAACTAAGAACAAACTAATTTGTTCATTAATATTCATTTAACATGGAAGTTCCTAGGACAGGAGTTTCATTTTAACCATTTGATTTGGAGTGAGATTGGGTACTTATTATCTATAGAAATAAATTATTTCTTTTCCTTCCTTTCTGAAATATATTATTTAGTATCAAGGAAATAAAAAAAATGCTGCCCACAAAATATGATTAGTCAGTTCTTAGGGTCTTTAGAGTTTTAATTTTACTTTTATCTATACAAAAAATACTTACAGAAAGCTAGACCATAGCATTTAAAACATTCATTCATTCATTCATTCATTCATTCATTAATGCCTAATGTCCAATTGCAAATATGTCATGCACATGCAGGATGCTAAACAACTAGTATAAATAAAACAATGTATATCATCTAAAAACAACTGGAATGTTTAAATCAAATCTACTCATAAAATATCAAAACTAAAGATTAATCACTGGTCATGGCTGGATCTTGTTTTTATTATTTTAGCCCCTCTGACTTTTCTTTTATTAAAAGCATTTGAAAATTTGCTCAATAATATATCTTTCTTTCCTAATTTAATATAGTACATCTTAAACTTCATAACTTCAAAGTTATATTCAATCATTGTTATTTATATAGGATTTCAACATTTCTCAAAACAAAATGTCTGGTTTATTGCCAAATATTTGAATGTTTGTATTATTAACAAACACAAAAGACATATATGTGGGTATATTTTTTTTTCAAAAGCAGAACCAACAAGAGGCTGTCAGAGTGACAGCAAACCAGATTTTCCTGCAGAGGTCGAACCCTGAACAGTTGAGCAAGTATGGAAACTACATTTAAGCTTAAAACAGCTCTGAATTTGGATTGTGATTGAATATTTGACACAGCATAGGTTTGTGACACAACATGAATGTGGTTTAAGAACTGAAATACTTGAAATTGGACATTTAAATACCTATTATGGTCCAATATCAAAAATCTTAGTACATATTAGAATCAGCATATCAAAGAACCCCAAGAATTAAATTTTTGATGAAATCAGACAAAAGTTTAATTTAAGACCCATTGGACCTCAATGTGGACCAATTTGATAAAGAAGCCCACAATCCAAAATCTCTCAATACATGGTTAGATTCAGCATTTCAAAGAACCCCATCAATTATTTTCTTTGTTGAATCAAACAAAGTTTAATTTTGGACCCTGATTTGGACCAACTTGAAAACTGGGCCCAAAAATCTAATATTTAAATACAGGTTTAGATTCATCATTTGAAAGAACCCTATATATATTTAATTTATGTTGAAATGAAACACAGGTTAATTTTATCCATAATATTTTCTGTGCAAAGGGAAATAACTCAAACTGGATATGATGCAATTTTTCAAATTATAATCAATAATATAAAATCAACAACCAGTGATGACTAATTTCTCTAAAATTAGATATGATTTAACACTCAAACATTGTTAGAATCAGCATATCAAAGAACCAAAGAATTCAATTTTTGATGAAATTAATCAAGTGTAATTTAGGACCCTTTGGACTTCCCCTATATTTCATTTGATTTGTTTTATTGTCCCATAGGGAACGAAAATCAATTTTTGGACATACAGCATACGTACTTACAGACAGACAAGGGTAAAACTTAATGCCCCGTCAACTACAGCGCAGGCATAAAAGTGTGGCAAACTGATTTGCCAAACTGAAGGACAAACAGACAGAGAGACAGACAGAGAGACAGACAGACACACAGCCTACCAAAAAACTTTCAAACAATTTACCAATGATATTTCGCCAATAACTCAAATTTATTTCCATGAACCAGTAACAAAACACCAAAATAATTCTCTAAAATTAGATATGACTTAACCACTCATAAATCTCTAAAATTAGATATGATTTTATATCTATCAATTAAACACATCACTTTTCAAAACAAATAACTCAAACTTATTTACATAAACCAATAAAAAACCAGCAAAATACTTCTCTAAAATCAGATATCATGTTATATCTATTTCCATATTATAATCAAATTTAATTAATAGTTGCTAATATTGTTTCTTTCATGTGTCAAAAAATAATACAGATCTGCAACTTATCTATCAATGTCAAAAACTTTATCTTATAATAAAAATAGATTATTATCTAATTAAAAACAAGTTTAGATTCAGCACTTAAAGAACCCTATATATATTTAATTTATGTTCAAATATAACACACACAAACTGATTAATTTTCCCAGGGGACCTGCCCTTTATTTCATATTTGTTTTTTTGTCCCATACAAGGATATATATGGTTTAGGGGCGGGGATCTCAACCATTTATAAGTTCTTAAACAGGAAGAAGGTGGGAATGACCCCAAGGAACTCACCTTTTATTTCATTTTATTTGTTTTATTGTAACGTTACATACAAGAATATATATGGTTTCGCCGTGGGGATCTTGACCATTTACAAGTTTTCAAAAAAAAAGAGAGTAGGGGTTACCCCAGGGGACTTCCCCTAAATTTAATTTGCATTAATTTATTGTCCCATACAAGTACATATATGGTTTAGGGGTGGGGATCTCAACCGTTTACAAGTTTTCAAAAAGAAGGGGGTAGGGTTTACCCCCGTGGACTTCCCCTATATTTCATTTGATTTGATATATTGTCTCATACAAGAATATATATGGTTTCTGGGTGGGAATCTTGACCGTTTACAAGTTATCAAAAAAAAGGGGGGTAGGGGTTACCCCAATGGACTTCCCCTATATTTCAATCAGAAAACAGTAAATTTTCAAATAAATCTGTCACTCCAATCATTGGAGTCCAATGATTATCATATGCTAAAATATTTCAAAGATCTAATTAATAATGAAAAAAAATCATAATCATATGCTGAAATATTTATAATATCTAATTGAACAGAACTATGGTTGTTTAACATAGTACTCTAACGTAATTAATAATCTAATAATCTTCAAAATGTCTAATAATATAGCTTATAATCATTACCACTTAGGAAATAGATAATTTTCAAATAAATCTGTCACTCCAATTTTTATTCTGAGATAAGACAAATCATAAAAAGATAACAACAGTAAAATATTTAAAAATTCTACTTTTGGATATTAAAAATGAAGATAACTCACAAAGGAGATATACTAAAATCTTGAAAATTAATAGAGACTTTCATTAAGTCCCAGGAAACACAACAAATTTGTTAAAGCGTTTTCATGTTATTGTGCGGAGCCGCCCGCCGTAAATAACCATTTTAATAACCTATATTTCCTTCGAAAATCCGGTTAACAAAACTGTTATAAATAAATCAATTTTCTCATAAGAAATTTTCTACAAAGGAATCAACTGTCTGCTTTGAAGTTGCAAAACTATTGTTTATTTAACCGAGTCAAAGGATTTCAATCTTCAAAATAGTAAGCAAACTTCAACATTGAATTCTTATAGATTTGTAATTTCTTATTTCATAAGTAAATGATGAATATCAGTACAAACTATGTATGCTGAAAAGGAGAACAGCTCCTGTAACTTTAATTTCCTTAGAGGTTGGTAAACCATAACAAAACTTACATAACTATATTTTGGTCATTGAGTAGAAAATTTACATTTATTTTAATAATAACCAATTTCCATGGTTACAGTGTAGGAAAAAAGACCTAACTTACTACTTGTCACTCATTTCCCACTTTTGTCCTATGAAACACTTCAGATATAGTTTCTATAAAATATCTATATATCAAAAAATATTTGAATCAATGTATGACAGTTAAAAGGCACTTGTATATTAAAATACTGTCACCCTTTCTTAGTGGTTACCTTTAATGTGGCTATAGCTTCTTACTACAAATTCCACTTTATACTACTATAAAGTGTGAGAAGCTTAGCTTCAAATCAACATATCACTCAAATACTTAATTTCCATAAACAATTAAATGTCAATAAACAAGAATGTGTCCATAGTACACGGATGCCTAACTCGCACTATCATTTTCTATGTTCAGTGGACCGTGAAACTGGTGTCAAAACTCTAATTTGGCATTAAAATTAGAAAGATCTATCCATAGGGAACATGTGTACTAAGTTTCAAGTTGATTAAACTTCAACTTCATCAAAAACTACCTTAACTAAAAACTTTAACCTGGCGAAAAGACGGACAGACGGACCAATAAACGAACGGACGCACAGACCGAAAAACATAATGCCTCTAGGCGGGGCATTAAAAATAAAGGACAACTTAAAAGTTTTACTAAGACAATATAAAACTCAATTAATTTTAAGCATAATACAACTGTCAAATATAAGGCTTTAAAAATTATTGATATGAATAAACCTTCCCAAATGTAGCAAATGTTACAAATCTGCTAAATCGCATTTTTGTAATCTGCTCACCCCCTTTTTACTTTCATGCAGAGATAATACTCAAAATGTATGTAAACAATAATTGGGGACTATATTTTTTCTAGTCTCAGCAGAAACTAACTTCAAGGCCTTAGTTATATTAGTGATAGACTTTCTTTGATAGCTGGAATTTTTTTTTATCTGTGATTATTTTTTAAGATTTAAAACCAAATTCTGTACATTACTATGACAACCTTCTATTTGGTGTAAAAACAGATTTTCTATATCATAGCTCAAAAAAGGAATAGTGGTTGCTTATAGTGAAGTAACAAATGTAACATCCATACTCAAACTGATATGTTAATTAATTCAGAAAATACCCTGCTATGTACTTTTCAAAACCCTTAGTTGGAAAAGCTAGGATAAAATTGAAAAAAAAGGCAGGACAGGAGTTGTGAGTAAAAAAGATGGCAGGATGAGCATCTTTGCAAAAAAAAAAGACAAGATGACAATTTATGTAAAAAAAGTCAGGATAAACTAATTCAAAAGGGCAGGACTGAATAGAGTGAATAATAAAAAGGCAGGAGAGAGATTACAACTAAAAAAAATCCAGGACATAATTTTTCATCCTAGTCCCCTCCCCCCCCCCCCCCCCCTATAAAATTCAAAAGGTAGCTAGCTACCTTAGGGACTTTTATAGCTGACCATATGGTATGGAACTAATGCATTGTTAAAAGCTCAGTTTTCTAAAATTGCTTGCATCAGCCTTATTTGGATTATGGTGAATACTTGTCTCATTGCCAAGAATACCACATCTTCTTATTTTCATATGCTACCACCTGACTGTCTTGGCTGTTCTAAAAAATGAACCGACAATCTTTTGCAAGTTGCTTAAATGACAATCTCTACCCTACACTGAATAAGATACAGTAAATGCATTTTCATATTTTTGCAAATAACTATAAATTTCATCTGTTCTTAAACTGTCTTATCTGTTTCTTGTTCATCATGAAAGTCAGCATGTTTATCATTCTGCTCTGTTGTCTTGTTGTCAAGGAGACGATATTCTGCTCCTTCTCCTACAGAAAACAATTAATTTTCAATATCAAAATGAATGAATAATCAAAAACGTGACAATGCAGAAAGTAAAGTGAACCTTGAAACATATATGTACACTTTCAGATAGAGTAGCTTACTACATACATATTATTAAACTATAAACAGAGAACAAAATAGTTCAGTTATATCAAACAAGAACATTCAAATCATGATAGTTATGCAATAATAATGAGCTTCCATGCCTCATTTAAAAAATTACACTGTTTATCAATTAGAAATATTTTTTTTATTTTTAAAATGTGCAATTTATAAACATTTAGTGATGATTTTTAATTACAATTTCAATTGACAAAAAGCTTCTCACCACAATGTATTAGATTGTAAAGTAAGTATAGTCTTTGTTCATGTTCTGGATCATATAAGTATTTGGATCATACATGTATGGTCATAACCATATGTTTATATACTCATATGGTCCAACTATACATGTCTGGTCCGGTCAATTTACATTACAAATGTTGAAAATGACATAAGGCTTATTTAATATGAAATAAAGTGAATTTTATCTCCAGTTAGATTTAAATTTTAGTATAAATAATCATACATGCATGGTTATTATATATTTCCTCAGGAAACACAATCTGTCAACTTTTATACAAAGAGACAATCTAAAATCATAAAGTCTGATAAAAGCAGACAACACAAGGATTGAAAATTAGAACCTTGTTTTCATTATCAGTTCACTAAAAAGATAACCAAAGTGAATCTCCGTTTTAAAATTAAGGCTTTTAACTCATGCAATTCTGAGAAAAAATGTTCTTCCTCTAAGGTATTAACTTCTGTTCTACATTAAATGAATAGAAATCACTCATTCACAAAAGATTGAAAAAATTGTGTGTAAAGTTCAAATGAAATTTTCCGTTGACAAACAAAAAAAAATTAAAATATTACTGTTGCATTGTAAGTTTTTTTCTATTGATAGTACAAGCTTATCTCCCTAATAGAAAATGAAAGAATATGGAGTAAATGTACATGGGACAAAATCGCACACAATACATAGAAAACACTAAATTTACTTCTAAATGGTTGCCTTTTGAAGTATTTCTATGTTCAAAAACAGGTATACTAATTTTTTTTTCTAACTCATCTAAAGATAGTTGATTGATTTTTTACCATGCCGGATGACATCACATATAAAGAACACATCTTTTTGCAGCTCAGTAAAAATATTGTCTTTATATTGTCATTATAGAAACAGATTCTACCACAGAATCTGGTATAATACCATACTTCTCCACACTCAACATATGGCAAACAGACCATGCTTTTTAAATTTGCAAATTTAACAGTGTACTGTACCTCCAATTTTCAATTCAACTTCTTCATTTTTTTCAACAGGCCCTTCTGGACATCCATACTCTTTAAACACAAATATGTTCACCAGCCCATACAAGATAAGGAGTACAAATGATGATATTCCATATACACGAAATGTCCATCGTATACCAATCTGTGAGTACAACTGACCAGTCATCACACTACCAACCCCTTTTCCTAAAACAAAAAAAAACATTATTTTATAAAGATTTGAAAAAAACTTTTAAAAAAGTCTGATGAAAACAAATGAACCCAGCACATTTTATTTTTTGTAGGGGAGAGGTTACCCCCACAATTTATTCCAAATAAAAAAAGTTGTAAAAAACATGAAATTCTCAAGATATTGTAGTCTTCCCTATATTTGATGATTTTTATAACATAATACACACACAGTGATTAAGATAAAAAGTGTCATTTTTTAAGGCAAGGGCAGACACTATAATTGACAAAATGTTTTGTCAAATATCAATGTTTATAATGACTATCATTTTAGTAATCATCATATAATTTAAGATGTACAGATAAACTGTAATTATTTGCATATAAACTTACAACATTGATTAAAATAAGCTTCCCTCAAGTTTCTTAGATACATGTAGTATTTTTATGGCCCTGTCAGTATAGTTTTACCCCTGGCATTATTTCGTTATTCCTTCATGTTGCAACGACTATTTTTCTAAACGCCTTCACATATTGAGCTGATTTTTAGATGTGTCTACCATAATGAGTTACAGATCAAGTTTATGTTCGGTTCCGCTTTGCAGATTTTGGCGGAAATATTTGGGCCTTGATCTTTGATAGAGGGGCTATTAGTGTCAGTTTGACACATCTAGTTAAGTTATAAATACATTTTAGACAAAAGTGAGAAAAGCCATAAATGTATCATATAAAATTTCAATATCAAAGTGACAATTTTTCTTCTGTCTTTAAGATTATCTGTCCTCTTTTATTAATAAAGAAAATATTAAAAATTTTACATTCTATTCGTGATTATAAGTATTTTGCTCAACAATGAATACTAAAAGCAAAAAAAAATATCAACAGATATACATGTACTTACCAAATCCAAAATGGATCCCACTCAGTAGTCCTTGGATAGTTCCTGACATTCCTGGAGGTGTAAGTATGCTGCAATATGATGTTGCTGTAGCCCACATGATTCCAAATGTTATACCATGTAACATTTCCACTGGTAAAACAGACCATGCATTTGTAAGGAAGGAATAAATTATAAACCTTGCAGCATATGCAATGAAAACAACATATAAACAATTAATATGTCCAATCTTTTTTATAAAAAAACCTGACACATACAATAACGGTATTTCTGCTGAACAAGCTATTAATGAGCATAACCCTGGAATAATTTTCAGTTTGTTTCCAAGTTCCTCTTCTAAAAACCAGTAGAGAAATGTCTCTATTGCACCTGTTAAAAATCCAAAGTAAAACACAACTAGAAGAAATACTGCAGTTCTAGGTTCACGTAGCAGAGATATTGTTCCTTTCGGCAACTGGTCACAGGCAAGGTTGTGTGAAATTTTCATAACACAAGAAATGAAAGCTGTTGCCAGGTTTAAGGCACTAAACAAAAAAAATGCTACACTGAAACTATTCATGCTGGTTTTTGAAAGTGCATCAATGCTTAAAGTTGAAACAATAGCAAACATAGCAAATCCAACTGTTCCCCACAATCTCTGTTTACCCCATTTGTGCCTTTTTTCAGCTCCAAAACTTTCATTCAATATTGCATCTTTCAAACTCATTATGGGAGCAAATAAAATATTTCCCAGTAAAAGCAGTACGAAATAAAACCAAAATGATGTTTGACTTAGATCCTCTGCTACTTTATGAGTACATGTGTCAACATGGCTACATTCAAGGTCACACACGAATTTTGTGACATCACTACACAACATCTGCCAGTACTCTTGACCTTTGTACACTACATCCTTCAAAACAAAAGTCCTACAAATTTGGTCATCTGTTTTAATTCTATTGGATATAACTTCTTTGTTTAACAAATATCCAAGATCTGGAATTTTAAAACTGATATGAGATTCCCATTTTTCAACATTTAAATTCACACTGTAGCAATAAGCAATATCATATGTGCCTGTTGCATTAGTGAAACATACTTTTTGAGGCAATTCTGGTGATATCTTATAATTACATTTCAAACTACATGAAAGTTTAGACTTTGTTGCCACATTTTGTTCATTTGGCATGGTGCTGATAATATATGGCACATTATTACTGCTGATTGAGTTCACAACCTTTGTGACAAAGGATTTCTCACTAATAATCTCTTTGGCTTTAGTAACATAGGTATGGAATGATATGGGGCATGCTTCCATGTTTATACTTTTGTTGACATGGTAACAATCTCGTAAAAATGAATCTCCTTGACTACACATAATTTCAGTTGTCACTTTTGTATGTTCAGTATGTTTCGATGGAATTAATATCATAAGATTAAAGCACAACCCTGTTAGAATGCAACATAGAACTAGAATCAGTTTGTGTTTTTGGAATTTGCCTGCTACAGCTCCAAATAAAAGTCTGACTAAAAACCCAACAAATGACATAAGACCATAAGTTATTCCAGTCTGTGATTTTGTCATACCAATCTTTTTCATATAAAGTGCCATAAACGGTAAGAGAGCACCAACAGCTATAAAATAAACAAAAAAAGTTAACATGTATATGTATGTAAAAAGATGGAATTTAATGTAAAAATAGTGAAATAACAGTTAGCATCTGAAAAATCAGCATGTTTTTTAAATGTTCTTAAAAGAATGTCAAAATAAGGGGATATTTTTTTATGGAAAAGGTGTTACAAACAGCTCAATTAATATCCACACTTGAACTTGGAACATTTAACTGATTACAAATTGAAAGCAATGTGCTGCTGATTATTTATTAACATATATTGGGTATATTGGCACAACATCTACATGTTTACCCAAAATGATAGAAATTATCAAATAATCAGAGTTAAATTGATAACACAGAGTTTTGTTTTACTTCTTGTGAATTGAAATGGTACCTTCAAACCAGTAGCCTCTGCTTTAATCAAAGAGTTAATAGCTCTGAGGGAGAGGGGGAGATACGAAAAGGATACCTTGAAATACAATGAAAGCAGACCACACCAACCCAGCCTTCCTGTGCCATTATAGCTTTCCACATTTTTTTCTTACAAAAATAATACACTACTAGTAACACATATCTCCACCAAAACAGATTACACTAAATATAAAACTCTCTGCATACTGTTGATTCATATAAAACTTTGTATAATTCTATACATCATGTTCATTGCATCTCAGCATATTCAACTTTAGGGAAGCAAATGTACCCGGAATTGATTAGAAAAAAGAAAGACAATGTAACAAATTATTTAAGAGAGGATTCATTTCAAGACTGAGCATAGACTCTTAATACCTAAAGGGAATTGCTGGTTCCCTAGGACTGATAAAATCCTACTTATATAAATCTGATAAAATTCATATTCACTGAAATTGAAAGTTGAAAAAAGGCCAGATCACAAGATTTTCAGGGCTTTGAACTGGATATAAATGTATTACTTCCAATGTACTTCTTTCAAAATTGAATTTATTCATGTTTTCGATATTATTAATGAATGGTAAAAATGCAAGAGCAGACAACTGGGTAAACAGTAGACCCTATTTCACATGCTTGCTTGATTTATTACATACATGTATATTAGCATCAATATTTTGTTTCCATTTTAAAATACATGTGAAACTAAAAATATGGGTAATATATCTTTTTAAACAACATTGTTTACAAGTCAAAAGATTAGTACTGTGCCATTTTATTTACCAGCTAAACATCACATTAGCAAATTATGCCGCTTACACTGATTTTAACATCATTGAACAGTCATTTCTGTGTGGAACAAAAGTTGCACTGAAACATTGTTTGTCCTCTTTTTATTAATTTCATATGCTGTGTCTCCGCATTTTATTTGTTTAACCTTAGTCCTAGTATAGGTTCTTGTTGCAGTAACCCTACCAGTTTTTATATTTCTTTACAATTAAGAGCTTGACACATCTTATAGACTACAGATTACTTTTGGATCATATCTTCAGCTTTAAATGTCTTTTGTTTTTTGTGTGCCCTTAGGTTGCTGTATCATTGAAAGTTACCCCACATATTTAATTCATATTATTATACTTCATGTCATAATGCTAGATTTTAATTGGTTAATACAAGGGAGATAATTTACTCTATTCAAGGGCAAATACTCTATTACCCTTCACAGAGACGCTTGATCAATTGTGCACTTTATTAAATACAGATGGTTGTTATTAACAAGACATCACTGTGTATTATTTGAATTTAAAATTTAATAGACAGTAATAACAGAACATTCAGTATAATAAATTAAACAACACATATCTGAGAGTGTGATAGAGCAGATTATTACCCTTGAAAAGACATTGTCAACATTGGCTTTGCCTCTGTTGACAATGTTTTTTCCTGGTAACAAACTGCTCTATCACCCTTTCATCTATGTGTTATTTATATACTATTCTAGCAAGCAAATTAAATGGAAAGACTTAAGGATGTATTCTTCTTTTTTGTCGTTTCAGTCTCGTTGAAATCTTGTTCTGGAATTATTTCCAAAATATGTGATACATGTGGAAAACATCAATGAATTTAAAAAATGTTATAATCAAACTTAACTCTGTGAAAAAAAATTGTATATTTACAATGATTAGTTTTTGAGTAATCAATTTTTCAAATTTTATTACCAATCAAGTCAGTCTTTTCAGCCAAAGCTATGGGAAAATGGGTGAGGGGTACAAGAAATGATTTTACCAGAAACATGTACATCCCATATCACTTTTTTCTTTTCATATTTCTTAGATATGTATCTTTTTCAATCATTTATAACAAAGAAATTGATATAATATGCATTTTGTTCTTAAAACAGAGAAAAATCACAAATTTACAAAACTGACAGCATGGTAAATTTGACACAAAAAAGCATCAAAATATGATAAAACTTTCTTATATTAACACCTACCTATAGTTTTTTTAAGTTAAATTTATTCAGATTGGTCCACTTCATCTTTATTGAAAGTATGAAAAAAAGTTTAATTGTGGAACTGTGATTTTTTTTCACGATAACAGCCCAGAAATAGGTAAAAATTGAAGAAAAATGGGAAAATCATCAAAATTGGGTACTTACAAAGGGCTGTAGCAAAAAAAGAAGTGCACCACCATATTAATTTTTCTTCATTAATTATTATTCTATAGTCATATAAACCCAAAAATCAGGTTAAGCAAAAAAAGTTTAATTCTAGAAATTTTTGGCTCCTCAGAGGTGTACATCCTTAATGTAATACTTTTAAAACATACCAGCAAGTGTGAAGAAGTAAAAGCCCTTTACTCTCAACAAACGTGGATATACCATTTTACCATGGTACCATTTTGAAGTTTGTGAGTCAGTCATGTTTCTTCTTCCTGCTGATAAAAGTATGGCATAATTAAAAACACAATAAAAATCTGTACAGCTAATCAACAGCCTGTAAAACTACAATATACAATTATATCTTAACACTTAAAATGCACAGGGATAACTAAAACTAAAATTTAGATGAAGTTAAACAGGATAGACATATAAGGGTTTAACCATTTCCTTTTAAGTGTGTTAATCTCTCCACATATAATCTGTAACACAGTTCCTTAGTGAAGAATTCAGACATTATTGCAAGGTTTTATCAATGCAAAAATGTGACAGTATCTGGTTTGCTATAAGAAAATCTGTGCATTCATAATTTCATTTATGATTTTCCTTCATAAATCTTTTTAATCACATTAATTAGATTTTGAATATTGGCCAAAAGTCAGGGATTCACAATAATAAATAAATGCATTAATTTTGAATTTACAGTATATTAGGAATTTTTGTACCTGAAAACAGGAAATGGAAGTTACTGAGCACTTGCATGTGTAACAGGATCTGCCTACCCTTCTGGGCACCTAAGACCACCCCCAGTTTTTGGTGGGGTTCGTGTTGCTCAGTCTTTACTTTTCTATGTTGTGTTTTGTGTACGATTGTTTGTCTGTTGGGCCTTTTTCTTTTTTATGCCCCATTTATGGGCATTATGTTTTATGTCTATGCGTCCGTTCATTCGTTGGTTTAAACTGTCCCGCTTCAGGTTAAAGTTTTTGGTTAAAGTTTTTGGTGAAGCTGAAGTCCAATCAACTTGAAACTTAGTACACATGTTCCCTATGATATGATCTTTCTAATTTTTATGCCAAATTAGAGTTTTTACCCCAATTTCATGGTCACCTGAACATAAAAAAACGATTGTGAGAGTGGGGCATACGTGTACTATGGACACATTCTTGATAGCCATGGCATTGTCAGTTTATTTCTGACTTGTGAGTTCGAATGTCTGTCTGGTATTTTTTGCCTCTCTTGTACATAATATATGTTGTAACTGTTTGCTTGCTCTCAACATTGGTTTTCCAAATCTCTTTTCCAATACAATTGATCATTTCTGTTTTGGGTAAATGGAAATATTTCACACTTAATGAAGAAAGAATGGGAAAATTTACATGTAAAAATTATTATATATCAGAATTTTAGAATTCTTCAGAAACTTGAAAATTTCCAGAAAATTGAAGAAAAAAGTCCAAAAATCTCATTAGATTTCTCAAACCAATCATACATGTTATATGTTTACAGAATAGATGATTGTCTGATTGAAATGAACGGTCATGTCAAATCAATACTTGTCTTGTTGGATACTATTAAACAAACAGGACCGCAGCTTCACTGTAAATAGTTAATAAAATATAAACACAATAAAATATCAATTCTTCTTCTTTAAGTTTTCCAGTCTTCCATCTGAATAAAGATGATTAATAACTGGTGCATGTGTGCCCTATTTATTTAAAACAAGTTAATATAAAGTTATATACAAATAAATGTGGATAGTGTCCACATGTGGACACATATGATGCCACCACTTGCATATCATATAGTTATAAAGGGACATAACTGAAGAACGGTAAAAGTGACGCTACCCAAATTTGAACTTGTTCTGAGTTTTGTGGTAATAAGCATTGTGTGTAAGTCTCATAACATTTGGTTGAGGCTAACTTAAGAAGGGAACAGAAACTAAAAATTCAGCAATTTTTCTATTTGTAAACATGCATAACTCTAGAACGGTTGTGTATAAGTTTTATAACATTTGGTTGAGACCAACTAAATAATTCAGCCATTTTTATGTTTATAAAGGGACATAACTCATGAATGGTAAAAGTGTCACCACCTAATTTCGTACTTAATCTGTATTATGTAGTAATAAGCATTGTGTATAAGTTTCATAACATTTGGTTAAGGCAAACTAAAGTTAGAAAACAGAAACACAAAATTTGTACTTGATCTTAATTTTGTGGTAATGTATATTGTGTATAGGTTCATAATGTTTGGTTTGGGCAAACTTAAGTTACAGAATGGAAACTAAAAATTTTACAATCTTTCGATTTATAAAGGGGCATAACTCAATAATGGTTAAAGTGACACTACCCGAATTCAACTTGATCTGTGTTTTATCAGTGGAAGTCAAAATTAAACATTGCATTGTATAAAGCATTGATTGTAGTTGATTCAACTATAATCATAGACAAAGGAAGATAACTCAAATTTTAAAAATTACTTGATATTTAGAAGAAAATAAAAAATTTGCTATTTTTCCATTTATAAAGGGGCATAACTCTAGAACGGTTAAAGTGACACCACCAAAATTCAAACTTGATCTGTGTTATGTGGTAATAAGCATTATGTATAAGTTTCATAATATTTGGTTGAGGCAAACTCAAGTTAAAGAACGGAAACCAATTTTGGGACGTACGGACGGACGTACAAGGGTAAAACTTAATGCCCCCACCGCTACGGCGGGGGCATAAAAACAGTGCAGAGAACAGACGTAGTGGTTAAAACTATGTACAGGAGATGAATCTATTAAATGAGAGTGGAGAGAACAGCATATGGAAGCTGCTCTCTGAAAGAATCAACTGTCTCTGAATTAACAACTGTAGTTGGTAGGAGATTCCATTGCGTTATTGTGTATGGGAAAAATGAAAATCTGTATGAGTTTTTAGATGTATAGATATGTCTGAAGGTGTGTGAATGATGTTTTCTTGTTCTTGAGTCTGATGGAATGAGAATTATGCTATATGGTATAGCAACAAGATGATGTGTGATCTTGTACATCATAACCAGGCGTGCACGTAATCTGTGTTGTGTTAATTGTGGCCAGTTGAGTGTATTGTGCATGTTTGATACACTGCTAGTGTTATGATACCTGTTGCAGGCATACCGAGCAGCTCTCCTTTGGACTATCTCCATCTTCAAGATAGATTCTGAATTGTGGGGGTCCCAAACTGAGCAGGAGTACCTGAGTTTGGGACCGACAAGTGCTTGGTATGCCTGGCTCTTAATGTTTTGATTTGATGTTTTCAGGTTTCTTCTAAGAAAGCCTATTGTTTAATGGCTTTGGAGATATTGTCATCTTTATGTTTGTCCCATTTGAGGTTAGATTGTAGTGTGATGCCTAGGTACTTAGCAGATGTAAGAGTTTCTAAAATATGATTGTGAAGAATGTAGTTATGTTGTAAAGGTTGACGTTTAGTTGTGACAGAGAGAACAGTACACTTGTCTGGGTGGAAGGCCATCAGCCAGTCCACTTCCCATTTTGCTACTGAATCAAGATCAGCTTGCAGTTTGAGGCAGTCACCCTGGGATTTAACTGGCATGTATATGATACTGTCATCAGCAAATAATCTTAGTTTGCTATGAGTAAGGTAGTCTGGAAGGTCGTCAATATAGGCCATGAATAGGACTGGACCTAAGACAGTACCTTGTGGAACCCAGAGGTGACTGGGACTATGCTTGATGATCTTCCCTCCAGAACAACTGTCTGAGTACGGTCGGAGAGAAATGCAGAGATCCAGTTTAATGTGTTTCCATTAATGCCAAAATGATTTAATTTGTAGAGTAAGTGACGATGTGGAACTTTATCAAAGGCTTTTGCAAAGTCCAGTATTATAACAGTCAGGGGTACTACTTGTACAAGTAATTTTTATTTACTTGAAGAAGTAAATATTAATATACTTATATAAGTAAATTTGTAGGATACTTACATGTATACAAGTGTATTTTATTTACTTGTATAGGTAAATAATTTTTTGGCTTAGTTATGTCCCTTAGACATTCAGATTTGTTTAGTTATATAAGTTAAAAAGTCATCCTATCTTCTTTTCTTGAATTCTAAGGACTTCTTTGCTCTAATAGAATTTTAAATTGTCTGACCTTTTGCAGATGTCTTTACTAACCATTTAAGTGTAATTTCATGGACAATGAACATGATGAAAATCTCATTTGTCTGTTATCTTCAAAACACTGCTCATTTACAAGCCCCCAAGGGGCAATTTTTGAAGGCCTTGCGCAAATACTTAAGATCTTTGTGCAATCAGTTTCTTTGTTGATTTAATGAGATGAAACATTGAACTCTAATAAAAAATTATGAGCTAACCTGAAAAAAATTGTTAAAGGCAATGTTTTTACATTCAAAATGAGAATTTTTGTGGGATTGTAAAAAAAAATTACTTATACAAGTAATTTTTTGAGAAAATTAAGGGGAGATTATTCAAACATTATAATTAACTTATATAAGTATATTATTATTTACTTCTTCAAGTAAATAAAGATTACTTATACAAGTAGTACCCAGGCTGACTGTATAAGATCTGTTTGTGTATTTGAATTGTTCATGTTGAAGTTTATTGATGGAGAGTTGTTTCACAAGATCAAGAGTGCTGAAAGCCATGCTGGAGGTCGTACAAGATGTTATTTGATTCAAAATGTTTCATGATGTGTGATGTGACTATGTGCTCCATTAACTTGCAGAAAATACAATATTGAGATTGGTCTATAGTTGACCGGTTTATGTTTGTCCCCCTTTTTATGGTGACTCTAGTATGTTTCCAGTCGTTATGTGTGATTCCAGTGATATAAGATTTTTGGAAAATTTTGCAAAGAATTGGTGCGATTTGTGTCTGCATTTCTTTGAGTAATTGTTTTGCAAATAAAACATGGAGTCGTTGAAAGTTTTGTTTATTGTAGCTCTGGTATTTCTGATTTACAGTTTCACCAATACCATGAATACCTATATATTATGTAAATGGTTGAGATATAAAACTTTTTTTAGACAAACACATTAAGATAATTTTGTTATGCAACTTATGGATTTCAAGATATTGAAGGCAATAATCATGATAATTGCACTTTATACTTATATTTCATTTTTAGCCATGGTTAATTATTGTTGTGATGCGATTATTCATTCTCATGGACAAAAGAGTCAATTTTCTGAAACGACACACAATTCATCGAACTTTTACCATGACTACATGTACAGCCTACAGGAGCATGTTTTTCTATACTCAATAAATTTGGTGTTGGAAACGCAATCA